AAAAAAATAATTTTTGCCCAAAGTATTTGGGCAATTTCGGCTACTAATAGAAGCAGTTTCGACCAGAAACCTTACTATCAAGATGGCTTTGATAACATAAATCCTTCTATTAACCAAATTTTTAGTATTGTACATTCTGCTACTTAATTATATTAGTAAAGAGTGCTGCATGGGGATATTGATAGAAATCCATCTTATGCACAAGGATATAATGTTTGTAAAATATGTGCAACCAAGTATAAGGCAACAACAGGAGTATCAACCTTATGTGACCATCTCAGAAAGCATCAATTAGAAGCACCTTTCACAAGATAAAGAGCCACCACAGCTAGGATAGGTCCTTTTGGTCAGCTAGAACAAAATGAACATACTAAATACCTTACCAAATGGTTGATTCAGCCCTTACTTTATAAAATTCATCAATTATTACTGTCTTGTTATACTGTTCCTGAGAGACATCAGATAAAAGACCTTTTTATTATAATTAATGGATTCAATATCAGAAGAATAAAAATTATCAACAATCTTGAGGGAAATGTTTATTGACAACTGACATGTAGCTTATATAAATTGGGAGGCCTATCTAGGAATAACTATACATTATGTAAACTTGAACTGGAATCTCTGCAATTTCCTCCTTGACATTATCCCCTTTACTACCAAACATACTGGTTATTATAAAGAAATAAAAATAAATTTATTTAATTAGATGATGTTTTAATAAAAATTATTTTGTGTTAAAAAGTTAATTTATAATACAGTCAACCCCCTCTAAGTGCACCCCCCTCGGGAATGAGTGATAGCGTGCACTTAGAGGGGGTGTGCACTTAGAGAAACAAAGCATTTCATTGGTTGCACGTGATACCAATAAAGAATAAAATTTTTTTAAAAATTTATTAATGTATATTAATCAATACCGTTACATTATTGTCACCAAAAAATAAAATTTATATAATTATTGATTAAGATAAGATTCCATTGTACTTTGCCTCATTGTTTTTATTGTTTTTAAACTAATATATCTATCAAGAGAATTAACCATTTTTATTTGTTGACTAGAATTTTCTTGTTGTAATAAAAATGTGCGGACAATTTCCAAGCTTTTTGAAGCTTCACTAGTACTTATCAATACTTGCTCAACACTATCATCTTCTTCAAAATCATTAGTATCTATTTCTGGTTGCTGTTTATACATTTCCACAAGAGCTTCAATAATATTATCATCATCAGGAACTTCATATACAGATTTTTCTTCTGGATTATTCAAATATTCTCAAATAGACATGGCATCATTTAGATTGAGAGCAGCAACTGCCTGAGAAAGTTGGTTTGTTGTTGGGTCATTAATATCATCAGAGAAATTGGACAAATTAACATTAATTCAGTCTGGAAGAATTTTAGTATGATGCCAGCAATTATAAATGGTTTGTGGTGACACTTCCTTCCAACTTTCAATAATAAATTTTATTGCTTGTAATACATCCATTTTTAAATTTTTTATATCATTCCCTGCTTCAACTTGTTTTAGAATCCAGTTAATGTGTAAATGGCGATAGTGTCTTTTAAAAGACATAATGATACCAGCATCCATTGGTTGGATTTTTGAAGTGGTATTTGGGGGGAGAAAATGGACATCAACATTTGAAAGAACCAAACCATCTATTTTGTGACTTGGGCAATTATCAAGAAGCAATAATACACGCTGGTCACCATATTTTGAAGCAACCTCTTTGTTGAATCCTTGGAGCCAATCCTGAAAAACAGTAGATAACATCCAAGCCTTTGTATTATTACGATATGTCATTGATAAGTTATTAAGGTTAACATTAATAAAGCATCTTGGTTTTTTAAATTTTCCGATTATTAATGGATCCAATTTATGTGATCCATCTGAATTAGCACATAAGGCAATTGAAAGTCTTTCTTTATTCTTTTTACGTCCAGAAAGTCTTTGTGTGGCTAATGTTCTATCTGGTTCTAATCTATAAAAAAGACCTGTTTCATCCATGTTGTATATTCTTTCAGGTGGATAATTACTACACATATTTTTCAATAATGGTAAGGCTTCAGTAATTGCATTTAGATCAGCTGATGATGCCTCTCCTTGAAGCTTTCGTACTTGAATTCCATTACGTTTTTTAAACCTATGGAGCCATCCAGAAGAGAAAGCCAATGTTTCTTCTGGTACCCCCAATCCATTTGCTATTTCCTTGGCTTTTTCAATTAAAATAGCATCGCTTAAGATTACTCTGTTTTGATAAATTAAAATAAATTCCTTAAGAGCAAGTTCAAGTTCAGGAACTGTTAGATTTTTGTGTCTTTTGGTATCTGGATTAGTAACTTCAGTATTAAGTATTTCTTCTTTTTTTTGCAGAATTCTTGTTATAGTTGTTTCAACCACTTTAATTCCCCATTTTTGTTCAATCCAACCAACATATTCTTTTCTGGTCATTTTATTATTAGAGTTTGCAAATAAACAAAATTCATATTTTTGAGAATTAGATAAAGTTATTTTACTCTTTGGAGGCATTTTTATTTAAAAGTAATAAAGGAATAAAATATTTTAATGAGATAAGTGTGAGTGTAAAAATTAGATGGTTGGATACGTAAGAATATATAAGTTAAGTTATAATGGAAGTTTTATTTTTTAAAATTTATTACAAGAGTTTAGTTATTAAATAAATTTCTTGATTCATGTCTTATTTATGATAATTTTGACTGCATAAGCTTCTCTACTTGTTTTCTTTGTTCTTTGTTCTAATAACAATAACCTTTGTATCTATTAAAAAAAAAAGAATTCTTTAGTTTCTTGTCACTTAATAAAAATGAACAATTCTTTACCCGCCTGTTACAAAATAATTCTTTATCTCTTGCTAATAATAAATTTAATTCTTTATTCATTATCATCATTTACTAAGTATAAATTTAATTCTTTTATATTCTTTATCATCATTTACCAAGTATAAAATTTTAATTCTTTATCATCTCTTACAAAAATCAATTCTTTATACAATTTTTTTTTTTAACACAACGAAGGAAACAAGGAAAAATTATTTAATTTATAACGTCGCACAATTTTTATTGGACGATGATCACGTGAAAGTCACGGGCGTGCACTTAGAGAGGGAGTTTTATATAGTTGGGAATGGAAAATGACCGTGCAGTGCAGAGGAGAGGGGGTGTGCACTTATCTCTAATTACCAAGCTTGGGAATGAGTGAGAGCGTGCACTTAGAGGGGGTGTGCACTTAGAGGGGGTGCACTTAGAGGGGGTTGACTGTACATGCAATTTTTCATTGGTTGATCTCACTTAATTTTTGTGATACAATAACAGCCAAAGATAGGATTTTTATCTATGCTCCAGAAACCTTAGTATAAATGATATTGGAGATTTTTATGGATTGTTAATTGAAAAAGAAACTTTAGTACCTTTTTAAAATTATGTTAATGAAAAAAAAAAATATGAAACATGGAATTTAATATTTGAAGAGTTTAAAGATTTTTTTCAGCAACATCCAAATATACACATCATAATCAACATCATCAACATCATCTTAGTGATAATTACAGTAGATAAGAATATATATAGATTTGAAGAAAACAATAAATTTTAATAATAATAACCTTGATGAAATTATTATTTTAAACAAGGGTATATATATATATTTATAAAAAAAATAACATAATTATTGCACTTTAATTTATTAGCACTTCAAAGTTCTAAAATTTGAAGAAAATATTTAATAATAGTTTTTTTAATTTTATTTAATTAATTTTAAAATCATTTGTTTAAAAACCAAAGCAAGTTCTAAGAAGGATATTATTCCACACAGATGGAGTGATATTAGCAAAGAAAAGAAAAATCTAATATGAATGACAACCAATACCTATGATAATTGATGATGATGAAAATATACAAAATGCACTCTCTTCCACTTCCAATGCACCTCCCTTCCCAGGCACCTCACAAGCCAAAAAATCAAGACACACAGCATCTACAGCTGAAAAAAGAATTCTTGAACACCTCACCTCTTTCCATGAAACTCCTCCACATGATGCAATTGATACTGTGCTAAATTCATTACTCCAAATTATTGGGATAAGAAATGAAATGGAAATTGAATTAGATGAAACTAATTAAGCTAGTGTTTGTACTCATGAGTGATCAGCATGAGTATCTGGATACTCATATACTCATTGAGTACTCAATAAGTAATGTATGACAAATACTTAATATAGTATATATGATCAACTTTGAAATGTATAAAATGTATAATTAAAATTTTATTTAATAAACATACACACAGTAGGGAGAGATTCAGTATGGTATAACTCTTGCAGATCGTATTGTATGGTATGGTATGATGTAATCACACCATGTTACACGTTCAGGACACCGGGTAATTCTATGATAACCCATGTGCTTTAATGGGGTAAAATCAGGGATTTTTTTCGACGAACTACTGTGCAAAATGGGGTAAATGGGATCAGAACTAGTATCCAAAAAAAAGGTAAAATTTTTTTTTGATTTTTTCTGGCATTCAAAAAAAGGGTAAATTTAAAACATTGAAATATGTCCGATCCATATAAAAGGTAAATTTAGGGATGGAGTAGTTCCATGTGACCAGAACTATTTGTAACACAATAATAATAATAAATAACCTTAAAAAAAAAGTAGTGCGTAAATTTATTTATATATTCTTATATTTTAATGATTGATAGAAACATATAGAAGTGGTAGTAGTAGTGGTAATAGTAGAAAGTATAATTTTATTAAACAATAACATTTATTAATAAATAATATATAGATTCATATAGGTAATTGATAGAAACAAAATACACATTTATTAGTTATTTTATCACCAAAAAAAAAATAATAATAATAGAAATACATATATATTAAAAAATATATATATATATACATATATATATATTAATTATTAAAAAAAGAAGCATATATACATACATATATATTAATTATTAAAAAAAAGGAAGCATATATACATATATATTTTTAGGATCATCTTATTAGATAATTTTGAACAAAAAAAAAATTTGGTAAAATGGTAAAAACACATAATTGTAAAAAAAAACTCACAAGAAAACTTCTTGAAAATCACAATCTAGTTAATCGTATAATAGACAGTAAAACTGTGTATTGTGTCTGTGGTGATAGGATTAGATTAGATAAAGAGTGGGATCCTGATTTGTTAATACGACATGCAAAAAATAATAGATGTCAAGAAGCAAGGAAAGGAAGACAGGCTATTACTAAATTTTTTCCAGTAAATAATACAAATAACACAAAAAAAACCTTGTCAAGGTTTAAAAAATGATAAAATTACTAATTATTTGGAACGTGTTGGAATGTTTTCTGTATTTGGTGGTTCACGTCCTATAAAAGAGATTGCAAAAGAAATATTTCCAGAAAGCTTTGAAAATAATAATGATAACTTTCATTGGGATGATTTTCCTATTGAAGCTCAAGAAATTATAAGGGAGTTTATAGATAAAGAAGCAAAATGGAAAATTTTTCTTGGTGAAAAGTGTGTCAGGAGTACTTTATGTAGTAATATTTTAGAAAGTAATTATTCTAATACATGTGAAGAATGTGAAAAACTTTCATATGATAAAATTTTTAAAAATGCTATTAATAAGAAACTACCAGAACCAAAAACAGTAAACATCTTCCAAAAGTTCTGGTTAAAAGTTCACCTTATTCTAAATTTATGACATCACCATATGTTCAAGAACTATGGAAAATTATAAATAATGATGAAGATGATGAAAATTCTTCAAAGTTTTGGCAACGTTTATCCGAATTGGGACAAGCTGGTGCTTTCAAAGATAAAAAAATTTTTGTTGGCCTTTGTGACATTTTTATCCAAATATCTGAAAGGGAACAACAAGGCAAAGGGTTTCAAAATCTTAAATATATGTCAGAATTTACTGATTTCCTTGTTGTATTAGCAAATACCAGCCCTCAAATTTATCGCATATTTCAACAAAATTTAGCAGGTCAAAACATTCGAAATATTCGACTTTTATGTGCTAAATCAGAGATAACTATTAGTGATCCTACAATATGTTATGAAAATATGTGCAGATTTCACAAATTTCTTGATGCAATCAATTATCATGGTCCTATAGCAGCATCAACAGATAATACAAAATTAACACCTAAGCTTCATTATAATAAAAGATTAAATAGCATTGTTGGTTCTACTATTTCTTGGAAGGATACACAAGTTACAACATATGATGATTTAAATAATATTCTACAAATGATACAAAGTACAAGTACACTTGCAAAGAATGTACGTGCATACATTTTACAAGTTCCAATACCACAAGTTCCACCTTTTGTTTTGGGGATATTACCAACAGATGGCAAAGAAACTTCAGATACAATTACAAACATTCATTATAAAGTTTTAGATTTTGCTAAACAATTTAATATAAAAATAATATCACTTGGTGCAGATGCAGCAGCACCAGAATTTGGGTCACACTGTAATATTATGAATACACCAACAGAACAAAATTTAACTTTTATTGATCAGTATTATGGTATAAAGTTTACATGCCCAATATTTGATGGAATTGGTCCTGTTGTAGCAATTACTGATCCTAAGCATGCTAAAAAAAGTGGGCGAAACAGTATTTTTAGTGGTGCAAGGCTGCTTTCTTTTGGCAATACTGCTTTTGGTTTTGGTGATGTGTTAAACTTGGCAAAAATGAACAATTCCTCTCTTTTTCTTAGTGATGTTTTATGCTGTGACAAACAAGATGATTCTGCAGCTTATAGATTGTTTTCCTCTTCATTTTTGGAACAGATTTCTATAACTTTAAATAATGGTTTGACAAATAATAATTTGGGGTTGTTCATTTACATTTATATAATTGGTGAATTAATTGATGCTTTCCTGAATAGAAGTATATCTCATATTGAAAGGTGTCACATGGTATTTCTTGGCTATTTTTTTTTAAAAATATGGCATAGTCATATTGAAACAATAGCCAAAGAATACTCTTCATTAATGTCATTAGAAAAAAATTATCTTGCATCACAAACTTACAATTTATTAACTTCATTAGCAGAATCAATGGTGCTTTTAGTCATTGCTCACAGGGAATACTATCCCACTGTGCCATTTTTGCCTTGGATGCATGGCAGTGAAGCCTGTGAGCATTTCTTTGGAATGGCTAGGCAGTTAATGAAAGATTTCTCATATTCAGACCTTATATATCTTGTACCTAAAATTGGATGTGTAACTAGAGCATATCTTAATGATTCTTTGATAAATAGCAAAGAGAAGTCAGTCCGAACAGGTTATGTTTGTGATTACATTGAAGGATCCATTGATTTAAATAGTCAAACATTATGTGTTTGGCCAGATGATGATATGATCCGAATTGCATTAGATAATGCACACAATGAAGCTATTACCTTATCAAAATATGTTAATTTAATAGAATCAGCATATAGTATTCAACATTTCATCAATGAATATACTGAATATGAAATAATGGCATTTGAAGTCCAAGAATCTGATAACTCAACTTCTCAAATTAATTCATCACTTGAGGATGTTGTAACTGATATGACTAAGAATTTTTCCTTGATTGATGACATTCCAGATGATAACGAAGCTGATCATAGGAATTTATACATGGAAATTAAATTTTTGCTTAATTCTGATGAAATATCTGATTCAAACAGAACTAAGTATGGTGGATATATACAACAATCAATTATTGATGATAGTGGCATGCTAATATTTTCAAAATTAGTAGATAGATGTAAAAAACATGAGGCATACACTTCAGCAAAACTTGATCGAAAGTCTAATAAAAACAGTACACAAGATCAAGTAATTCATCCCAATTTTAAAAATACAATTAGCAGTGATGTAGCACATGCAAATTCAAATTGGAGCAATACTAATCGACAATTGAAAACAAGAGAACAACGTTGGCAAACCAATTCAGCATCCAATACTTCAACACCAATTAATATTACAAATGTTCAAGGGTCTAAATGGCAAATTAGAACAAGGTTTGAAAAACTAAATGCAAACCAAATACCTCCTCCATGTAAGTTTTCTATTTTGAAATATGAATTATAAAATATTTAAAAGAAAATTTTTTAATAAAATATTTTCTTAATAGTACCAGGAATTAGCATTGCAAACATCTCTGTTTTGCATCCAGCTATCCCTGGAGGTTATTGTTTTGTTCTAGTTAATAGCAGAATTTATTTGGCAGAAATCATCGCAATGTATAAAAAAGTTTCAACTTTGCATTCTTATGTTGATTCTCCAGTAGATAAAATAGATACACTTTCCTATATTTCAACCAGAATTTGGCTTCAATTACAAAATAATATATTTACTACATTTACTAATCAAGAACATCAAATTTTTACTCATTTAACTCCAAAACAGATTATTTACTATGTTGGTCATGAACGGACAGATATTAATTATCAATTAAATACTCAATTAATTACATTACATTCAGAAATTTGGAATTGGTATAGGTTTTTAACTAAGGAAAGCACAATCAAAATTTTAATTCAATCCATCAATTGATGATGTGAATAAAAAAATTTTAAAATTTTAATTTTTATACTATAGAAAAAATTGTATAACTGGTATGTTTAAAGAAGGTAAATTAATAAAATTTGTATGTACTGTGGTCCAAAATGGGGGTAAATTTTGAAATCTTAATGGGGTAAATTTAATGAAATTTACTAATTGGCCCGGATGATAGTTCACTTATAATTACCCGGTGTCCTATTTTGACGACATGTATATATTTAACGGATATTCGGCGGATATTCAGTGGATATTCAGCGGATATTCGGTGAATGACCAATTATCCGGGTGTTGAATTCTATTGACTGACCAATTATCCGGATATTGAGTTTTATTGATTGACTAATTGCTCAAACACCCGGATAATCAACGGATACAACCACTATTCTGTTCATGGTTACATGGATCAGAAGGGTGTGAACATTTCTTTGGAGTTGCTAGACAAATATCTTCTGATTTTACTTATGGTGACTTCATATATTTAATTCCTAAAATCAGTCATGTTTTCAAGTCATATTACAATGGATCTTTAACAGATTTAGTTAAAGACAAGACATCTGCAATGGGTAAGTAATAATAATATTTTTCTCTATGTTGATTTTGCAATTTAATATTGATTTTATATATATTATAATATAATTTAGGTTATTTACATAATTTCAATGATGGTACAATCACAAATGATTTAAATATATTGAGAAAATGGCCTTCAGATATTGAACTGCTAAATGCATCCAAAACTGCATATAATAATGCATTGAATCTAGCCAAATTTTTATATTTAGTAGTTGATAATAATTTTATAAATATCAATAGTTTTGAAACTTTTACTGATAATGATAATGATGAAATATTATATGATTCTAACAATAGTGATGTTCAGCAAAATATCAACAATGATAATAATTTTGATTTAAGTACTGCAGCAGAATCAGTGATAAATTTTCAAAATTTAGATATAAATATAAAAGATGATACTGAAGAAGATTTAGTTGAAGCTAAATTTGAAATATCATATATATTAAATAATACTGAAAAACAAAATATTAATTTTGATAATATTGGTAATATTCCATTAGAAAAAGAAGCAGATTTATTAAATCTAATTAAACTGTGAAAAAGCCATGAAGCATATACTGGGCAAAGAATGGAGCGACTGGTTTCTGGAAGTAGATATTATAATTCTGAAAACTCAATCAATATCAACGAATGTAACAGTTTAATTTCTTATTTGGCAAATGATTCAATAACCAATAATGTGGTACGTCAAGAGAGGTGGAAGGAAAGAAAAAAAATGGAAATTCTTAAATCACATACTCAAGTTCCTAATGGTAGTTAGTCTAATTAATTATTGTTACATTTTTAATAATATAATTAATTATTAAAGTTTATTATTATATTAGAAATTCAAACCATTACCTATGCAAATGTCAGTTCTTTAAATCCAATGAAAAATGGTGGGTATATTATAATTTATATTGGTGGGAAAATTTTAATAGCAGAAATCATAGCCATGTATAGAAAAAATTCAAATTATCATTCATATATTGATCATGGAATTAATAATGTGGATGCACTATCATATATTTCTGTGAGAGTGTTTTTTCCTTTACAGTATTGTTTGTTTACTTCTTTAGATTCACAAAGATTCAATATATTTTCACACATAAGTTCACATAATATTTTATTCTACCTGGGGAATAGTGATTTATTGTTGGATTCTGAAATAGGATTATTAAGAATTGACCAAAAAAAACAAAATTTATTTGATTATTTTGATTCATTGGATAAAAATTTATTATATCAATTATTAAAAATTTAATTTTGATGTATAGAAATATATAAATAAAGGTTAAGTCTGGTTAAGTTCGTGTTTATATGAAGTCATATGCTTAAGTGGGTAAAAATTATAAAATTTTCTTATGACATATGAAAAAAATGGGTAGAGAATTTTTAAGTGGGGTACTTTAAATGGGTAAAGAAAATCCTAAAAAGTGGGTAAAGTTTTCAAAAATTACTATTAGATTTTCCTACCACATCAATTAGAATTATCCGGGGGCCTGTGAGTACCGTATATGGTGCGAATCATCTAAAGACATCACGTGCTGCGCCACCTGCCGAAAATTTTTATGCTAATCTTGCTTTATAAAGAATCTAATATATAAAAATAAATCCAAATTGGTAAAAGATCTGTGACTTTGTCACGTGAATAATTGGTAAATAATCTGTAAATTGGTTAAATTGGTTTAGATATATAGTTGCCGAAATTTCAAATAAAATAGCAAAGTTACCCAACTTTAAACCATTATAACTTTTTTTTT